GCATTAGGAACCCAACCATAGGAGTTCTTTAGATGGGAGTTTTCAGCACCCAAAACAAATTAGAAAAAAGGTTTGCCCCTCCTTCCCACCAAATTAACACCTACCCCTAACCTCAAAAAGTCTAGCTTTTTGTTGTCTTTTTTTTTAGTTGTGTATAGACTGGGTAAGAGTTAGAACTTCTGTCAGGTTTACACTGTCTGTAACCACTGCAAAGGTCCCCCGCAATTCCTGTCCCATGACGCAACCGGACATGAGATTGAATTTTTAAAGCATGGACACAGACAGCAATAAATACAGTATCTCATAGAAGTGAGTACACCCCTCACATTTTTGTAAATATTTTATTATATCTTTTCATTTGACAACACTGAAGAAATGACACTTTACTACAATGTAAAGTAGTGAGTGTACAGCTTGTATAACAGTGTAAATTTGCTGTCCCCCTCAAAATAACTCAACACACAGCCATTAATGTCTAAACCGCTGGCAACAAAAGTGCGTACACCCCAAGTGAAAATTTCCAAATTGGGGCCAATTAGCCATTTTCCCTCCCCAGTGTCATGTGACTCGTTAGTGTTACAAGGTCTCAGGTGTGAATGAGGAGCAGGTGTGTTAAATTTGCTTTTATCACTCTCACTCTCTCATACTGGTCACTGGAAGTTCAACATGGCACCTCATGGCAAAGAACTCTGAAGATCTAAAAAAAAAGAATTGTTGCTCTACATTAAAGATGGCCTAGGCTATAAGAAGATTACCAATACCCTGAAACTGAGCTGCAGCATGGTGGTCAAGACCATACAGAGGTTTAACCGGACAGGTTCCACTCAGAACAGGCCTCGCCATGGTCGACCAAAGACGTTGAGTGCACATGCTCAGCGTCATATCCAGAGGTTGTCTTTGGGAAATAGACGTATGTGTGCTGCCGGCATTGCTGCAGAGGTTGAAGGGGGGGGGGTCAGCCTGTCAGTGCTCAGACCATACACCGCTCACTGCATCAAATTGGTCTGCATGGCTGCTGTCCCAGAAGGAAGCCTCTTCTAAAGATGACGCACAAGAAAGCCTGCAAACAGTTTGCTGAAGACAAGCAGACTAAGGACATGGATTACTGGAACCATGTCCTGTGGTCTGATGAGCCCAAGATAAACTTATTTGGTTCAGATGGTGTCAAGCGTGTGTGGTGGCAACCAGGTGAGACGTACAAAGACAAGTGTGTCTTGCCTACAGTCAAGCATGATGGTGGGAGTGTCATGGTCTGGGGCTACATGAGTGCTGCCGACACTGGGGAGCTACAGTTCATTGAGGGAACCATGAATGCCACACGTACTGTGACATACTGAAGCAGAGCATGATCCCCTCCCTTCAGAGACTAAGCCGCAGGGCAGTATTCCAACATGATAACGACCCCAAACACACCTTCAAGACAACCACTGCCTTGCTAAAGAAGCTGAGGGTAAAGGTGATGGACTGAATATACGTGTCTCCAGACCTAAACCTTATTGAGCATCTGTGGGGCATCCTCAACCGGAAGGTGGAGGAGCGCAAGGTCTCTAACACCCACCAGCTCCGTGTTTTCGTCATGGAGGAGTGAAAGAGGACTCCAGTGGCAACCTGTGAAGCTCTGGTGAACTCCATGCCCAAGAGGTTACGGCAGTGCTGGAAAATAATGGTGGCCACACAAAATATTGACATTTTGGGCCCAATTTGGACATTTTCACTTAGGTGTGTACTCAATTTTGTTGCCAGCAGTTTAGATATTAATGGCTGTGTGTTGAGTTATTTTGAGGGGACAGCAAATTTACACTGTTATACAAGCTGTACACTCACTACGTCACATTGTAGCAAAGTGTCATTTCTTCAGTGTTGTCACATGAAAAGATACAATAAAATATTTACAAAAATGTGAGGGGTGTACTCATTTCTGTGAGATACTGTAGCTGATCAGCTTTCCCTACACAATCTAAAGCAGAAAAAAAAAAGTTTAGACTGAATTTCTAGTACTTTACAACTTTATGGAGTGGTGCTGGCAACCTGGAAACACTAGGACTGCATTTTTAAAATGCTAATATAAGGCACGATCTACGAGAGGATAATACTGGCGATCACAGGCAACTGACTAGAAATTCAGCCATCTCCACGCGATGACTGTCGGGATAAAAATGAACACCTCTCTTTGGAATATGTATATTTACCTACTGAATATGACACCAGGTACCAGACTCCCCCCATGACTGGATCTCCCATTGAAATATTATTCAATTATTTAACAAATACCTTTACTGTAAGGTATAATGTTTTTGTATGTTTTGTATACCAAAAATACTTGTAAAGTTTGGCAGTACTGTATATATGTACACAATTACAAAAAAAATTAATTGTGGAAAAAGAAAAATTTACACCACACAGCTAGGGAGGAGGCACCTGCCTGGGTAATTTTAAATGCAATATTTTTATGTTGGACTAGAGTGTACCTCTACAAAAATGGTTTACATTTTTGGCTAGAGTTCCCCAAAACGGTGGATTCTTATGGACAAAAATAAGTCAAGAGAACAAGGTTTTAGTGTAACAGGGTAGACCTGAATTCCTGGCATACCTGAAATGGTTTCTGGCAGCAGGAAAAATCCAGGAGCTGGCGTAGCCGTTAAGTATACATCAAACGTTGACTTCCAGGCTGCTGCAGAGACGGTGCAAGAAAATGAAGCTTTATTTCCGAGGAGCTTTGATGCACAGGAAGAAAAATAACCATTTCTCGGCAGCTTGTACCAAACCGTCTCCTTAGGGTTCATGAGGCCTAAAATATATTAGAACGTTCTGAGGCGGTCAGAATGTTGATGTACAGCATGTATATTTATGTACGTGTGGAATGTCCAATTCTTAGGTCTTACATATGTCTATTTGCAAGCGAGGAAGTCATGGTGCTGGAAGCTAACTGCCTTGGCGTTAATAAGCTCCAAAGTTGGTTTTAATGATCTTCAGCGGTGACATCACCACTACAGATCAGTTAAAGGGTAGCTAAAGTCTACCACTAAAATGAAGATCAAGCTTTATTTTAAACATAAAAAAAGAGCCTGTGATTTATGAAATGTATTGAAGAATCCTAACTTCCCTTTTTTTCAGGGGACAATACAAAAATAAAAGAAACCTATTCCTATGAACTACCATTTTTTTTTAAATGAAAGTCATTCAGTAAGCTGTACAGGGAGGGTTTGTTCATTTGTAAAGCAGTTCTCTGTAACAGAAGTACAACCATCCTTCAGTGGTTTCAGAGGTGTGCGGGTTGAACAATACTCCTGAGTATCTCCAAGATTTAGTATAGAATCATTAGGCCAAACATTTCTTGTACCAACAGTAAATATATCTCTGGGCAGATGAGGAGAGCCCTCATGTAGCTCAGTGGGGTAGCATTTAAAACATACAGGTGGAATCCTAGCATTTTTGCAGGGTGAAAGGAATTGGGCACCAGTCACTTTAGTATGTTTAAAAGAACTAATTAAACACAATAAACTCAAGGATAGGGAGTAAGGCTCATGTACACTGCAGCTGATAAACTCACGTTCAGGAGCTGTTCAGCGTTTTGTTTTCAGCAGCCTCTGAACTCTCCCTAATGTTTTCCTATGTGTCCATGACATCTTCGTTTACAGTTTTTTACAGGCATTTGAGTTTACAGTCGTTTTTTTAATGCACCAAACTTGCGTTCAGCAGTTGATTTTATCAGCGTTTCAAACGCAAAACGCTTATAAACACAGCAAATCACGTTTATAAGCGTTTGCATTTGAAAAATGTTTTTAACTCTTCCAGTTCCCAATGCTGTCCAGAGCCTTTTTTCATCATGAAAAATGCATGCAAAGTGTTTTTAAGGTACTCAGATGGACAAAACACTGAACACAGGATGTTCCTACCAAGCTTGTCACACCTCAGACCTCTCCCACCCTTGGAAACAAGGTATGTTAATGACCATTCAACACCTCCTGGTGAAGACCCCCTGCCAGGTGGCCTTAATGACTCACTCCACCATATACCTTTCCCACCCTTGGAAACAGAAGAAATGTTAATGAGCAACACCTAATTATCTCAACACCTACTGCTCTCTCTGCTTCTACTCTTTGTATTTCTCTGAAACAGTCTGAAATAGTTAATAATTTACCACTTTTCAGTGCATTCTGGGCATTTGGGAGGTTCTCCTGTGCTTAGCTTGAAAAAACGCTTTTAAACACAAACGCTCATAAATGCGTTATGAAAACGCGGCTAAACAGACATATTTTAACCTACGTTTTCCAGCAGTCAATTTCCATCATTCAGAAGTGTCCCGTGTACATGGGGCCTCAGAGCACAGGATAACCAAAATATAGGCGAACATGGCCCCAGAATTCAACATAGGTTTTAGGCCTTTAAGCCAAGTTCTGCAATCTGTATTTGTGGACTGTTAAGCACAACCAGGTAACACAGGTACCTATTAGGATGAGCAGCAAGCACCCACTGCAATATCAAGCAGCTTATACCCAGCTCTCCAGGGCACTCCTTAGCACAGAAGCCATGTCTCAAGATACTCCATACAGACAACTATCTTCCTGCTCCATTCCTTCTGGATGTACCCTCCAGCAAGGTAACATACTGTTCGTAGGCCCAGGCTCTGGCCCCTCTGTTAACAAAGACCTTCAATAGGCAGTAGGCCTGGGGAGCGAAAGATCTCCAACACTGCCTCCTCTCCAGGCCATACTCACAGGAGGCAAAAGTCTTTCTCCAATGTCACCTGAAATATTTACATCCTTCAACTTTATGCCCCACCTCCTTGTGCATATGCATAAACAAAGTATGCAAATGCAAAGTATTTGTAACTCAATAATATTGCTCCTTCTTGCCCAAACTGCCAGGGACACGCTATAAAAACAGGCAGAAGCAAACAACAGTTTGAACCTAGGGAAGCCCATTAAACGTAGCTTAAAGTGACATTAAACCCAAACCAAAATTTTATTAATTTGCAATCGGGGGCGGACTGACAACTCATGGGGCTGCGGGCAATAGGGGATCATGGGGCCCCTGTGTCCTAGCCCAAACTCAAAAAAGCCTATGAAAAAGGTACCAGGGGCATCTCATGGGGCCCCCTAGTGACCCTGAGCCCTCGGGCAGTGCCCGAGTTTCCAAATGGTCAGTCCGCCCTTGTTTGCAACTAACCAATTCCTTGTTGTGATGGTTGCATTCGTTTTCTTTTTTCGGCTTCTTCCCTTTATTTTCATATGGTGAGCCTGCCAGAAAGTCTATTATTCTTCAACTTCTTTTAACAGACCAAGCTGTCCAGACAAAAGTAGCAGTTAGAGATTTGAGACAACCATTTACCACTGATAGGGGTGCTTACAATGCTCAGATTTGATTAATTTATGTAAAACCTTGAACCCAAAAGGAATTTGATGGCCTTTCTTTAACATGTAAAATCAACAACCTTCCATGGCCAGAGATCTTATCACTTTACCAGGCCCCACATTTGGAAGGATAACGTCCTTTCACCTTTCACCTGCTAATGACACCTGTCCCGGAACTGACTGCAGAGTCATTTTGAGAGATACAGCATTTAGTACTGATTCTCTCCACCAGCTCTACCTGCACATACATTGCAAGGCCTCGCACACCATGGCTCCAGGCCAGGTCCATAAGATGATTCAGGTCCACAGTGGGCCCTAAAATAGGGACCCAACGGTTTGAAAGGTTGTCCCACCCTACCTACAGGACCTGTATTATCACCACTGCTCCCATTTCCTGAGTTTGCTGCTCTTTCTTTCCTTTACTTTGCACTTTTCACCACCCAGATTGTTATCTTTGTTACCCAAATATGTTCACTGTAGGAGCACAATCTTTCATTACAAGAAATAGAGCAGACATTGTTGATTATCCAGAATGTCTCTTATTTGAATAAAAGCCCTTGTACACACAGTATTCAGTTTTTTCCATCAGAACATCGAATAGTGCAGCATCCATAAATATGACCTTATCCATCCTCCTCTTTCTCAGATGCTGTGGCTGTGGTGCTCGTGCCTTTGTGGTTGTAATGGTCTCCCATAAGGTGAATAATAAAGACTCGGTCCTTCCTCCTATATCAGGCTCCCACTAGGGGCAACCGAACTCTTGGTGTATTGATTACATGTATTGTCACTCTTCTACTTTCCTAGAAGACCTTGGGACCTGACCATCTCCTACATACAGTATATCCCTTCCTAAACTTCAAGTGACATGCATCATAAATTAATCCTTTGCAGTACAAAACAGAATTAACATGTGGGTACTTGAAACCACATTAGGCAGGGTCCCTACTTATAAAGCTGCTGTTCAGTTAATATATATGAGGTGTGTCTAAAAGGTTTAGTGAATGGTATAAGAAAACAAACAAAACAGAAGATGCAAACAAATTACCTTTATTGGCCTTCAAAATAATGGCCATCCTTGACAACACACTTTTGACAATGTTTAAAAATCTTCTTGGAACTGTCAAGAAGGCCTCTTCTGCAGGCTCCAGTTCAGGGGAGTATGGTGGATGATAGAGAACAGGTACACCACGCTGAGCCAGGAATTGGCTCACACGGATCGCACAGTGCAAAGGCACATTATCGTACAGCAACATCTTCTGTCCAGTCCTGTGCAACTCGTAGCAAGCATTTCAAAACTTAGAATGTGACGTTCACGGTTTGACCCACAGGAATGAATTCCTTATGGATGTGACCATCGTTGTTGAAGAAGGCGATCAACATTGTCTTGGCCTTTGACTTTTGCAGGTGACTCTTCTTGGGTCACGGGGAAGAAAGTGAACGCCATTCCACCGATTGCCACTTGGGTTGCTAGCACCAGGTCTCATCCCTTGTGATGATGGTTCACAGAAAGGATGGATCCTGGTCACACATGGTAATGAAATCTGAAGAGGTCTCCATCCATTTTGTGTTCTGTTCATCTGTCAGCTTGTGCGGCACAAACCGGGAACAGATCTTCCGCTTACCCAAATCTTTGTGGATGATGGTGCGCAGTGTCCTTGCTAATGCCCAATTCCTCCACCATCATTCGTAGAGTCAGTTGCTGATCTCGTACCAGCATTTGTCACACTCACTTGATCATGTCTGGGGTTCTGCTTGTCGACGGTCAACCCGAATGTGGCTCATCCTTCTCCTTGTTTCCTTCCCATTGCGAAAAGGTTTGAACCAGTTGTAAACACATTTTCTGCTCACGGCTTCTGTCCCGTACACTTGCATCAACATTTCATGTGTCTCCATCACCATTTTCCCCAATTTGCAGCAGAACTTGCTGTTTGCTTGTCGCTCCATTGCACTGTGACCCTACTTCTAACACTGACTACTTTTGAATGCCTGCAGTGGGTTTACCCTGATGGTCATGTATACTCCACGCTAGGTGGTGCTTCTTGACATGTGTTTGGATAGCCATGTGCAGGGGCGGACTGACCATTCAAGCACTCGGGCACTGCCCGAGGGCCTGGGGTCAGTAGGGGGACCCATGAAATGCCCCTGGTACCTTTTTTATAGGCTTTTTTGGGTGTGCTTTGAGTGTGGGCAAGGACACAGGGGCCCCATGATCCCCTATTGCCCGGGGCTCCATGAGTTGTCAGTCCGCCCCTGGCCATGTGCATGCATGAACCTGGCCCATGTTGCCGCTGAGATATCAGACCATTCACCAAACTTTTTAGACACGTAATTTGACACATAACAGCACAAAAACAAAAATGATTTCAGAGGACTAGTCACCAGTATTGCCTGTAGACTTCCTGCAGCTTATCCTTTTTGCTATTACGGACTTACCAACAGAGAGCAACTACATTGCACAGGGGCAAGGTTATCAGTGATGCAGTAAATGAGAAGAAACAACAGGGCCACAAACCTAAAAAAAACACCCAACACAAAGTCCGGGACAGCGCTACAAACATATTAATAATATAGTCCTCATATGTGTGTCAATAAGCAATGTGAATTCGGGACATCGCTGCATCCACAATGATAAAATCCTCATATGTAAAAGTCCTTCTCAGCTTCCATATATATTAAATCAATCCCATCCAAGTGCACAGAACTGTAACTTTTGATAACACCACTTGTGAGATACCATCACCAATAACCATGATAGAAACAAATTCTCCACATGAATGCAGCATCTGTATGGGAAGTCAGTGTCCTCCATTCCTTGGTTACCACCTGTCTTAAGCCACCCGGTGGGCTCCATCAGCCATCAGGATAACAAGACTTAACCACTTTGCCCTTTTTCCAAAACATAGAAAAAAGTTTTAGCTAGTGTTCTACTTTAACAGGCTCTAGTAGCAGTTAAAAACAACACAGGGCCTTTGGCGACTTATATAGAACACCTACAGTACAAACCTATCATTATTCAGCCTAATCAATGTGCTGTCAGGATATGGAAAGGTGATTTATGATCTGTTGCTCCATCTTTACTGCAGAAGACCAATAATGTACAAGTATATAAGCCACTTCCGTCAGGGAAATGGCCTGCGATTTCAGAGTTCTTGTCCGGCAACAGTTAAAGTCACAAGTGCCCTTGCCAAAAAAATCTTCTCCCCTTCCTCAAAAATGCCAGCAAGAGAGATTCTAGCAAAGGCAAAACATAGCATTCATTTCAAGAAACCGCAAAGGCCAGAGAGGAAGTATGCAAACATTATCCAGAGACGCCTGAAGATCGTTCGCACTGAGAAATCATGAGTGCCAGAAAGGCAATGCAGGATCCTGTTCTGCAGGAAACCTGAAGGACACTAGCTTCAAATCCCGCTGTTTCTCAATTAGCCAAGCAAGAACATGGGGGGGGTAATTCAGGGCTACGGAATAATGCGGCTCTTTTATATGAACTGTTGTGGCGAAATGCATGCAATATACAGAAGCCAATCAAATTCTTATTTATTTATTACAGGTACTTATATAGTGCTGTCAATTTTACACAGCGCTGTACATATATATTGTACATTCACATCAGTCCCTAACCCTCTAGGGCAGGGGTGTCAAACTGGCAGCCCTCCAGCTGTTGCCAAACTACAAGTCCCATCATGCCTCTGGGAGTCATGCTTATAACTGTCAATCTTATAATGCCTCATGGGACTTGTAGTTTGTCAACAGCTGGAGGGCTGCCAGTTTGACACCTGTGCTGTAGGGGCATATAATCTAAAGTCCCTAACTCACATTCATACATACACATACTAGGGCCAATTTAGACAGGCTCCAGTTAACCTACCAGCATGTCTTTGGAGTGTGGGAGGAAACTGGAGTACCCGGAGGAAACCCACGCAGGCACAGGGAGAACATGCAAACTCCAGGCAGGTGGTGCTGTGATTGGGATTCGAACCAACAACACTAGTACTGCCAGGCGGAAGTGCTAACCATTTAGCCACTGCGCTGCTCTTTTTTTATTTGCTACCCTGCACTGGAAAATGACAGCTATAGTCTAATTGGCCCAGCTGCAGAATGAATTGGAGGGGCATGGATGGAGTGGCAAGTTTCTTTTAGCCATGCCATGAAGTATTGCGAAGCTGGGGGTTTGTTGTGTGCAATTAAAATAAATGCCACCATTGACCTGGTCTATGTGGTTGGGCAGTACACCTTTAACATAGTCAATGATCACTCTTCCTTATAGGAATAATGTCAGAGTTTGCATTCATTCATCCTAACAACTGTTTGCTGCCTATATAGAATTTTAAAATGCATTTATTAAACGTTTTGTCTCATTATATAGCACATTTGTAGAACTACCCCCTTAGGAGTTGCTGAGTTTTGGGTCCCCTATGCTCTGCATGGCCAGGCAACATACATTTTCCACACCTTGGACACTGGAGTCAAAGAACAGTCCCCAAGATTTTGTGACTTTATTAAGAGGTTAAGAACTTGGATTGGGTCTAGGGGTATATGGGATGCCCGAGGAACTCCTTAGCAACTATGTACAAAAAGGTGGATAGCAACAGTCTCTTTCCTTCAAGGGCTCCAAAGATTCTTCCTAGTGTACCTCCCCAGGCCCCAGATGATTACTGATCTTCAACCAGCTGTTCCGAGGGTATTCCCTGAGCAAGGGGCCCAATAAGCTGCCAGAAAAGCACAAGCAGTCCTGGATGAGGAGCTAGTTGGGACTTTCACCTGACTGTCCTCTCCCCTTATCCAGCCCAGGAGGTGTAGGAGTACTCACACTGTCCATTTCTGTCAGCTTAGTGGGTTGGTGGCTGCCTTCAGGCCTTTTGCTGGGCTGGCTGCTTCCCTGCCACTCAGGATGTCCTCCCCAGGAGACAGTGGCACAGTGGAGATCATCTTCTCTTGCAACGGCCTGTAGGTAGGCCCCCCTCCCTGGCTCCACACTCCAGCCCTCCTCACTTCATCTTCCACCTGACACTGCTCCCTTCCCTCCGGCTCTGCCCCATTTGAGGGATGCCCTGGTCACCATGCCCAGCCTCCTGCCAGGGGGTTGGCAAGGGACCCTTAAGCATGCAGATCTGGGCTTCCTCCCCTCCTCCAGAAAGCTCTCAGGTTTCTGGAGAGGTTGGAGGGCTCCAGAAGCCCTGACCTGTTAGAGCCTCCCAGCCTCTCCTGAGGTAACCTCACTACCTCACTCCCCAGGCTGACTCATCCCCAGGCTGCAGCTCAGCATCTGTCGAAAAAAAAAAAACCTCTCTGACTAACCTGGAGGGCATTACACATTTAATGGATGGATTAGCACACTAGTTGTATTTGACCTGTTTGCCAAACATTCCAAATCCTCTATGCTAAATGCAGATCCAAGAAACAACTGTCATGTTTATACCACAATGAATGTTACATTCACCACCACTGAAAGGGCTTACGTACATTTTAAAACCAATGACTGAACTTCTCTTATTTGCTCCGTTTTATATCATGCAAAGCATACATCTATTAAATAATCTGTTGATCCTGCCTGAAAGTCAGTGGGATTGTAGTTTTCTGTATAAACAGACAACACAGTGGGGGTTATTTGCTACAATGGAGAGTGCAAAATATGGTGCAGCTGTGCATAGAAACCAATCAGCTTCCGGGTTTTATTGCCAAAGCATAACAGAACAAGCTGAAGTTAGAAGCTGATTGGCTACGATGCATAGTTGCACCAGATTCTGAGTGCGCCAGTTTAAGTATCCCCCCCCCCCCCCAATGCTTCTGCTGCACTGAAATTCCATTGAGCTTTACCAGCCCTCTCCCATTCTCCTCTGTGAACTACAGAGCACTATTCTCCTATGCTATATAGATGAGGAGGAAGGTTGTAGCGAGGTGTTCCATAGTCCAATTCAGGTGGTAGTTAAAGCACATACGGGGTATGAAGTGAGCCTGTTGCAAGGAATTAACTCGGCATCAAGAGTGGAGGAAGAGAGAGTAGCTGTAATGGGTAACCAAGGACTGGTGTAAGGTGTTTCAGTAGCCTGTCAGGAAGTGTGGTACTAGGGTAAGGTGAGGTGTCCTCCGGTAGCGAGGGAGTTGATGTGCTGGCTCCCTCCCCAGCCGTAGGTTTCCCACAGCAACCGGGACCTAACCTGCATTACGGAGACCCAGGGCTGCTGTTAGAAACCACGGGGCTCCATACAAACAACCTGACAGAGCCCCCTCCCCACAAAAAGACACAGGTTACTATGCTTCAGTTGTGAATGAACACAGTGAGTGATCAGTACCTATCACTCATTGTATTCATTCAGGGAGGAAAGGGGCTGATAAATGTGACATATTTACCAGACCCTTCCCACATTCTCCATGCTGAAGGATCCTACTGTGTGCCTGCAGCTGCCGATGGGAAGGAGAGGAGGGAAGGCGGCAGCTTTGCAGGGGTGGGGGCACACGGGGGGCCTGGGCAGCAGGGGGAAACATATGGTGTAGAGGGAAGGTAATGGGTGTGGGGGGCAATTAGTGGAACCGACCCCCTGTATTGCTCTCTATGCAGCAGCTGAAAGCTAGCCGGAAGGAGAGGAGATGAGAAGTCAGCTTTGAGCTGCTGCCGAAAGACATACAGAGGGTCTGTTCCTGTAATTGCCCCCCTGCCATGCCAATCATCTCCCTGCCCAAATCTGATTCACCAAGCTGCCTGGGCCCCCCTGCTGGCCCGGGCCCCATACAGGAGGACTGGGTGTACCCCCTTATCCATGCCCAAGCCAAGTACATGGTATGGGAGAGAGTTAGGAGTTAATGAAGAGGTCCGTGCAGGTGCTTGGCAGGACCCAATTTTTTCTGTCAAATGGGCATGTTGGAAAACCAGCATCCGATCAGCGCTCACAGCCAATGGGCTGATCAATGTGTTCTGGAGAGGGGTGGGACATCCCCCAATCACAACACAATAGCACAGCGGGGAAGATCATCACACTAACATTGCTTACTTAGAACAGTGACTTTACAGGTTATTTTTTTGCTCAGCCTGTTGAGTTGAACGAAGAAGAACTTATTGTGAGTACCTGGCATTATCCTCGAATCCTCATTCTTTAGTAGCCACTTGAAGAAAATTCTGCTAATGATTATATGGAAATATGGTGCAGCAAACAGGTAGAAGTGTAGCATTACTAATGAAAAGGATTTTAACACAAACCTTAGTAAAAAATCAAGTTCTGTGTTTGTTGATTTAAAAAAAAATGCTACAATTTCCCTTTATAGTACCTGCAATGTGGGTGTCCAGATGGCAGAGGTCATTGGCAGACCATGAACATGCCAAGCATTCCCCAATGCAGGTATGTCAGTGGTCATTTGCAGTGGACAGCCACGTAGTTCCACTCTCAAGTATCCCTCAGAGGAAACGGTAGACCGCCATCCCTCTCACACCTTTACTAAGGGAAGGGAGGGGGGTAGGGTTGAATGTGTGAGTCTTGACAAGCTTAGCTAAAGATTTCATGAGCTCATCTGCTTGTGCTTATTATTAATGGGTTTTATAGGTGCAGGTCCCCTACGGTCAACTGAGTTTCTTATGGAAACCTGAGAGCCCGTTGTTTCACAATTACAAGGTCTTGGGTGGCAGACATGCCATAAAGTTTTAAAAGACCTTCAGAGAAGACTATTGTTCAGAGCATATTTATGAAACGGTTACATTTTTGCACATCAGCAATGTGAAAAAATGAATGTTTTACAAATGTGGCAAATCTTCTAAAGGGCATCCATGGTAAAAAAAAAAAGCAGTGAGTAGACAGAAATGTAACCATTTGTTGCTTTTCAAATATGACTCATGGACACTTTATTGTATCTGCATACAGGGCCATGGATAAGAGGGTACCACTAGCCCTCTTGTATAGGGCCCAGGCCAACGGGGGGGGGGGGGGGGGACAGGCAGCTGGATAAATTGGTTGTGGGCAGAGATGGTAATCGGCACGGCAGGGCAGCAATTATTGGAACCAATCCCCCGTATGGCTCTCTGGAGTAGCTGAAAGCTTCTTCTCCTCTCCCTCCTGTTGGCTTTGAGCTGCTGCAGAGAGAGCCATACAGGGGATCGGTTCCAGTAATTGCCCCTGCCGTACCCATCACCCTCCCTGTGCAACATACATTCCCCCCCCCCCTGCCCACTGCCCAGGGAGGCCCCCTTGTGTGCACACAGATGGCGCAAACACCTAGTGCATTATCTAAGGTTTATTACAAATGAAAAAGACAAAAAACATACTCACAAAATGAAGTACATGCAAAAGCCTATAACACCACAATGATAGCCCACAATGAAGGCAAAGTGTTCGACTGGCGGTGCAGTTGGCCTGCTGATGTGTTTCAGGGACTTTCCCCTTGTGTGTTCACATCCCCACAGTGCTGCCGGCTTCCCTTCTCTCCTTCCCACCGCCAGCTGCAAGCACACAATAGGATCCTTTAGAATGGAGAGCAGGGGATGGGTCCAGTAAATATGCCACATTTACCAGCCCTTCCTTTTCTGAATGAACACAATGAGCGATCAGTACTAATCACTCACTCTGTTCACTTATAAATGAAGCATAGTACAGCATGTGTTTTTTTTTTGCGGGGGGGGGGGGTCTTTTAGGCTGGCTGTGTAGGGTCCCAAGGTTTCTAACAGCAGCCCAGTTACATTAATTTATCATTAAGGTGGAACTATGGGCAAAATAAAAAATTACTTATATGATGCAGTCTGCTATCACAGCAGTCTTTGTTTTCCTGAGTCCCCCCGTAACATTTTTTTCATTTGTTGATCCTGCCAGTAAGTCTATTACCAGACCAAGCTGTCCAGCAACAGTTGAAGTTAGAGGGCTGAGACAAACTGTTTAATACTGGCAGAGGTACTTACAATTCATATACTGTAGGTAAAATCTTTTTACCAAAAGGGAAAAAAAACTGTGTCTATAACTGCTTAGAGATGAACTCCAGGCACAAAAAAATTAAATTTAAATATATTCCTCACTAACCAAAAATGATACAGTATAAATCCACTTTGTGTGCACCAGATGCTTCTGCAAACCCAGTTATTACCTTGAAAAGAAGCAATAACATTATCACTGTGCTGTACATGTTATGCAGAGAGCAGGATTGTGGGAGGGACTCTGCAAGCTCCACCCACTATAGGCTGTCATTTTTCAAACACTAGTCAAGAAATTAAAAAGGTGCATATTTTCAGTTTCTTTACTTTTTGTCTAAGAATTTGCATTAAAGCGAGTTCTTTAATGCAAAAAGAAAAGCCTTTCTTGTCCTTATGAATTACTTTGTGATCTTAACCACTTCAATACCGGGCACTTATACCCCCTTCCTGCCCAGGCCAATTTTCAGCTTTCAGCGCTGTCACACTGTAAATGACAATTGTGCGGTCATGCAACACTGTACCCATATGACATTTTTATCATTTACACACATTTTCACACAAATAGAGCTTTCTTTTGGTGTTATTTAATCACCACTAATTTTTTTATTTTTGCTAAATAAAACAAAAAACACCTGAAACTTTTGAAAAAAATGCACTTTTCTTCGTTTCTGTTATAAAATTTTGCATGAATAACATTTCTTTATGAAGTTAGGTCAAAATGTATTCTGCTACATTTATTGGCGAAAATAATATTAATAATTGAATTTGTACTTTTTTCCAAATGTTTCTATTATTTTATTATTTATTATTACATTATTTTTTTTTTTACTATTTTATTTTTCAGTACACTGTAACCAAAGCAATACAATGTTACCATAGTAACATTGAACTACTCTGGGCAAGTGATCAGGATTTTTTTTTTTAACACATTATGATTGCTAATATTAATGTATTTCATTGATATTTACAATATTCATTCAACAGATTCATTCAGTCTTTTTTTGTGATTAGCTGTGATTGGGCAAAGCTGATCACATGATACAGATGGGCTGTGATTGGCCCTGTCTGTATCATGTGACTGCCTTGACCAGTCACAGCTAACAATATAATTGTATACAATGGATTGCTTGACAGGAAGCCATCCATTGTATATATTTGACAATGTGATCTGCTGTGATTGGTCACCAGGGGCGGACTGACAACTCATGGGGCCCCCGGGCAATAGGGGATCATGGGGCCCCTGTGTCCTTGCCCAAACTCAAAAAAGCCTATGAAAAAGGTACCAAGGGCATCTCATGGGGCCCCCTACTGACCCCGGGCCTTCGGGCAGTGCCCGAGTTTCCAAATGGTCAGTCCGCCCCTGGTGGTCACATGACACTGGCAACGTGTAGTGATATGTCATCGGTTGTGTCCCGTGGAAACACACAGACTAAACGTACAGACTGAACACTAGGGGAAAAGAGACTGGGGAAATGCCTCCTCTTGCCTGCAGCAGACTATTAACATCATCTCAACCTAGGCAAAGTCACTGGACTACTTTGTATTAAGCTTTTTAAGTGATACAGTTACTGTAGATGTGACATGTCAGTAATGTATTCATGCAGACTTCTAAAGCTTTTCTTTTTTTTCCCTCCGAAAATGATGTAGTCTTTATTTTTGCAAAACTAATAATAGGGGTCATGTTATGTGACCGTATCTAATACAAATAGTTTGTTTTAGTGGAGTCCTTCTTTAAAACCCCGTAGTGATTTGTAGCCAAGAATGCTAATAAATGCAGAGATTTATGGCACTGTTCTTGTCCTTCAGAAGGAGGAGGTCAGCCAGGGATTGTATAACTGCATGGAAGGGCTACAAAGGCTCCTAACAAGGCCATAAAAACCTTATGTTCCTGATGGTCATGATGTCATTCCAAAGACCAACGTTCAGAGTGAAGGAGGCCTCACGACTTTTGTGTCTGGAGCTGAGGATACCTTACACTATCCACCATCTCTGGAAGAGGCAATGAAAGGAAAAGAGTGCATTACAAAACTTTCAACTTGGAACTGTGCAGTTATCTACAGCTAACGACTTAATATAAGGCCTCGTTCAGAGGGTACACCCAGGGCTGCTGTTAGAAACCACGGGGCCCCATACAGCCATCCTGACAGAGCCCCCTCAAATAAACACAGTTTACTATGCTTCAGTTATGAATGAACACAGTAAATGATCAGTACCAATCACTCATTGTGTTCATTCAGGAAAAGGAAGAGGCTGGTAAATGTGACATATTTACTGCACCCTTCCCCCACTCTCCATCCTGAAGGACCCTATTGTGTGCTTGCAGATGCTGGTGGGAAGGAGAGGAGGAAATCCGGCAGCACTATGGGGGTAACGAGGGTACATAGGGGCCCTGGGCAGTAGAGGGAAATGTATGGTGCACAGGGACAGTGATTGGTAAGGCAGGGGGGCAATTACCTCCTGATCACCTGTATGACTCTCTCTTCAGCAGCCAAAAGCCAATGGGAGAGAGAGGAGAATATGCCAGCTTTCAGCTGCCGCAGAGGGAGCCATACAGGGGATCTGTTCCAGTAATTCCTCCCCCCATGCCAATCAGCCAGCTGACTGGGCCCTGTACAGGAAGACTGGTGGTACCAGTTTATCCACGGCCCCTATGTACACCCATGGAGGGCAGTTTACCCACAAAAGAATGAACAGGTGTTCCATGCATCCCTGTGGAGGCAGTCCTCTTGATGTCAGTTGGGACACAGCAGCTACAGACACAGTCACTACTCCCAATCTGACATCCACATGGGTGCGAACTCACACAGCGTGCTTGAGAACACAGACCTGCACACAGGGCCGTGGATAAGGGGGTACCACCAGTCCTCCTGTATGGGGCCCTGGCAGCTGGGGGGGGCAGTTATTGGAACCAATACCCTGTATGGCTCTCTCTGCAGCAGTTGAAAGCTGGATTCTTCTCCTGCTCTCCCCCTCTCCACTTGCTTTCAACTGCAGACATACAGGGGATCAGTTCCAGTAATTTACCGACCCCTTCCTTTCCTGAATTAACACAATGAGTGATCAGTACCAATCGCTCACTGTGTTCATAACTGAAGCATAGTAAACTTTTTTTGTGGGGATTGGGGGCCCTGTTAGGTTGTCTGTCCTCATCATATGGGGGGTCCTGTGGTTTCTAACAGCAGCCCTGCCTGCACACATCCACATCCATACAGATGTCAAATTGGAAGCAGAGAACTGTATCCATGTAGCCAAGTGTCCCAAATTACATAAATGGAGCTGCCTGTGCAGGAAAGCACTGAACGCTTGTGTATCCCTTTGTAGGCAAATAAGGCCCTTTTTTGCTTGATGTCTATTAACCACTTTCCCTACCCAGAAGTCTTCCAGCACAAATGTTGCTCCTTTGGCTTCAGAACAAGTCTGTCTTTGTCTAAGTACATGGCCTATCCAAAGTCTTTGTTGCTTCCCCCACTTTCCTCTAAGGAGCTTCACAAACTAGCCCAACCAGTTCATTAGCATATCAATAGGGAGAGGCCTAGCTTCTAAAACAACACCTGGTCTTAATTTTATATTTATGTCATCAAAAATCACCATTAGCCATAGCAACACAGGCCCTCCATGGGTGTATGTGTGAACTAGGCCTAACAACATGTTTTTATTTGCAAAATAGACCAATTTAAACTATCCACCTGCAGTCATCCCATGCAATGTTTCATGGGACCATCATTCTTTCCAGCCCCCTAGATTCTATCAGAGATACAGGTATAAACATGTAGCGCTAACCTTGCAAGAGCTGCTTAGCAGATTGGATTTTCTATTCTTTTGCTTCAACTCTAAGAATGACCTCAGCCCCTCTGACAGGTTAAGCAATGAGGATGCACTACTATTAAGATGAATATACTGCTCACTATGGTTTGGTATAAGGAAGCAAACACCAGACTGGTTTGTGAACAAGGACTACAATATATTGTTATGAGTTAAAGTAGATGACAGTATGACCATAAATGAACAAGTAGTGAATGGGTCTAAAATAAGTCTCTAGACAATGAAGATAAACAGTAATGGCAATGACACTCAGCGCTCTGATAACTTTTCTGCAATCAATAGACTGTAATTGCTTAGAGTACATTCTGTATGAATGAAAGAAGAGCTTGCTACTACTGCATGAAGCTTGCCCTAGTGCTATACGGACTTTTCAGCCCTTTATTGGACTTTTGGATTTAATGCTTTATAATTTATATAGAAGCTGGGTGATTGCTCTTTGCACTGATTATCCTCTGTATTGAGTTTCTTGTTGTTTCTGCATTCTGCATGAATAGCTATGCTAGTGTTAGAAACTCCCTACAGAGGAACCTCTTACTGTAGACAGCAAGCAAGCTTTTAGGGCAGCCATCTAAGGGAACAGACCTTTGCCCTAGTTCTTCAGCCAGCTAGGGTTAGGGCCCAATCTTTACGGTGGTGCACATGAATACAGTTCCAGTAATGTCTGCAAGCAGTTTAATGCTGCTAGTCAGTTGGCCAGCACCTATATGCTAAGCTTGCTTCCTGGTTTGCCTGGGGCAACTCCAGTCTTCAGCTTCATGGTTAACAGTGCTCCAATTTCATGCTGTAGGCTTGTGGCGTGTTGATGTGCACAAAGAGGTAACAATGTGCACACCTAGGTCTTCTCACCGCCGAGAGAGAGAATGTTCACTGTCCCTCTGGGAATTGTAGTTCCCCAGTCCATTAACTGTCATAGCAGAATTATTTTCTCCCATAGTTCACTGCTGCCAGCATTAAAGTCTTCTGAGCTCTTTCTGCCCCTGGTTGGTGAAGGTGAGTTAGTGTTAACCCATTCAGTTTTATAATCCAGGATGGGTTGGTGGAGTCACAAGAGGGTATGATTGAATGTTTTTAAGAATGGTTACAGTTAGCCTTAACAACCACTTTAAGGGCAGATGAATTTTCCTCATCTGAAAACTATCTCTTGCCAGTCAGAAATCTCTTGCTGCCCACATAATGCATATGTCAGTGGAAAAGAGAGTGGGCTTTATTGCCCACACATCTGGGGCAGCTGAGGTTTCTGAGAGTACATTCACTGAACACTCCCTGCACAGTGACCGAGCTGTCATAGACAGCTCTTGCTCTGTAGTCATGACAGGAAGCAGGTGGGATGGGCTCCTGATCATGTGACCACTGTGACAGCCAATCACAGTTGTCACATGATCGGGAAGTTCTTACTGCCCCCAAGACCCAGGGTTGGGTGGAAGGGGTTAAGAAACTTTAAAAACATAAAAGCTTCAGGCTCATGATACAGTATTATCACAAATACAATATCCTTTAGGCATACTTTTTTTGCAACCATTTTTGGGTTACACCCAGATTTAGGGCTCACGTTACCCAAACCCCACCATCAAACTGCCCCTCCACTTATCTGAATCAAGGGGTGCTTCTCCCTGTGGTCATCTGTTCATATTTGAAACTAGCGCTGCTCCTGTGTGTCTCCGCTGGATCATCTAGTCCAGAGGACGGCAACTCGTCAATCGTGATCTACCTGTCGATAGCGGACAGCTGACAGGTAGATCTCAACGACGGCTTAGTCGGTCCTTCGCCTCAGCCTCTGCCACTCAAAGTTCACAGCAGAGTGGAGAGCTTGAGGCTGCATAGTGGACGGAGGGCAGGATCGGGAGCTGCTGCAGTTAACCAGCAGGTGATTGGTTGTTAGGAAGCTGGCGGTCCTTGTAACCAAACACCAGCTTGTTGATATCAAAAGTTAACACTGTCAGTTCCTGGGGAGATGTCTGTTACCATTTTGTTTTTTTTGTTTTCTCTTCCCAGATTTATATCTATTTACTACTTTTTTTTAAATGAAAAAAATCTAATAAAAGATATAATTTAAAAAAAAACAGTCAGCTCCCGCCCTC